GACACTGATGGAACTGTTGATTGATGGACAGATTTGGAGTTGAACTCCTGAGTATGGATATGCGGTTGATAAAATACTGTTAGTGGGTATTTACCCCCCATGACGCAGAGTTTTATGGGAAAAATAAATGAAGGTAACGGCTTGGGGGGTGGTTTCCAGACCCGGTTGCTGTGGGGGATAAATAGTAATTAGGGTCACTCTGAGAGAGTGACCAGAGTTCTTAGTGGGGATCGCGAAAAGCAGATCAGGGAACAGAATTAATGAGCTTGTGAATTCTGACTGGGTTGCACATCATGGTTGGAACGCTACCGTCTTCCCCCGAACACAACGCACCCTCCTTTTGGCTGCACTGGGACCAAAAGATAGCTTGTATACAGTCATTCTCAGGGTGCGTCATGTTGGGGGGAGGAAGGTAGTCTCTATGATGCAGCGCAGGGGCAAGATGGTTGGTAGTCTCTATGACGCAGCGCACTGGTTTACAGTTTTGGCTGCACTGGGACCGAAAGATAGCTTTTATACAGTCATTCTCAGGGCGCGTTATGTTTGGGGGAAGAAGGGAGTCTCTATAACACAGCGAACTGATTTACAGTGTTGGCTGCACTGGGATCAAAAGATAGTTTTTATACAGTCATTCTCAGGGCGCGTTATGTTTGGGGGAAGGAGGGAGTCTCTATAACACAGCGCACTGGTTTACAGTGTTGGCTGCAGTGGGATCGAAAGATAGCTTTTATACAGTCATTCTCAGGGTGCGTTATGTTCGGGGGAAGAAGGGAGTCTCTATGATGCAGCGCGCTGCTTTACAGAGCGGGTCCGCTATGTGGCAGCAGCACCAGCCCGCGCGGGCCACTTTGAACCTCAATTGCGAGGCATTGATCAGAGCCCCATTCAACCCTGTCGTCGTCATTGGCGGCGGTGGCCCATAGAGAAGGAATAAATACTGAGGAAAGGCAAGAAAGATGCTCCATGCGGCTTTGTGATTCCCCCGCCGGAGATTCGACGAGCATGTGGTTGGCATGCCTTGTGCCGGGAGGATTATGAAGGGATAGTACATGCGAGTTTTCACTTTGATACGTACGACGACAGTCAGTACTGTACTCGTGTACGGCACCCCCCTGACATGTTGTGTCCAGTGTGTAGACGGGCTGCTGGAATGGCAATCCCTCTAGAGCTGCGGTCGGCGTGCCTGCATGTTCCTACTGTAGCATGTAGGAGCCACGTAGCCTGTGACATCTGTCTGCGCCTCGCTTTTCAATGGAGCAACGGTGACTGCGAAAATTGGATGCGGTGCTTCCATAGTCCGCACCTGAACCGGTCCTGTCCGGTCTGTAGGGGGTGGCCATTCACAGACCGGACAGAAAATATTATGCAAAGCTGGTTAGAGTTGTGCCTGTTACCAATACTCTCCTACTCCTAGGATTTAATAGTCCGAAGGACTGGAGCATATAAGAACACACCCTTTTTGGAACTCTTAGAAAAGCAGCACTATGGGCAATATGGAGGAAAAGGTGTCAAGAAACCATAGAAAAGCAAAAAATGCACACCAAAGAAGCATGGGGAATATTACAACAACAAGTGGAAACAGAGTACTGGGCCATGTGGCGCAAAGTAAGAAGGAAAATGAAGGAACACGAGGACAAAGCCAAGGAGCACCAAATTAAGTTCAAGGAGAATGTCCTAGCCAAAGGCAAAATCGCTCTCATCCAAGGCTCAAGCCTGGTTTTCCGACTATGGGAGGAAACCACACTAAACCAACAATCACAGAGCCACTCATTGAACAGTATCCCCCAATCTCTGGAAGACAACATACACTCAGAGTAGCCTATGGAAGAACACACAACAGATTCTACCCCCCCGGACCGTTGTCCAAACCAATTGGAGAACCAACAGATAATAGATACATCCACATCCCAACTTAAACATAAGGCCCAAGATCGACTTAGGACTAACACAGAACCAGGATAGTCAAGTCCTGGCAAAGACAAGAGTCAAACACCAAAATTCCCGCAAGAATGATATAGAACAGCAAAACATGAAGGATAGCAAGAAACTACACACAAAACCTAAGAACACTAAAAAACAGGGAAGAAACCCAAACACAGGATTATACAAACAGCAACCAAATCATCACCTGAGCTACAAAAAGAATCCAACAAACAGAAACGGATAACAGAAAAAGGAATTCAGGTAACAAAAGAAAATAAACTCCCCAAATAGAAATTAAAAATAACCAAAGCCCGGCCCAAGACATAATTAGACTGTCACTATTAAGGCCCTACCCTTCGCACATAACCCTGCTAACTGAAAGAAAACAACACACACGTCATCAATATGATCTCAGCCATCCCTGCCACTCAACCGTCTCCACATCGCTCACCCGTCCCTACAACAGCAACCTCACAAGCCACTTCCTACTCTATACATGCCCTCCTACTGCCCCCCTCCCTAGCGCCCCAAGCCGGATCCAACACAAACTAACCTACATTCCCCCTTCACCCCCCGTCTCCCGCGCTCCACAGCTACCCCACAGTACCACCGCCACAAAGCATTCCTTACCTATCAGCCCCCTTCCCCAATAGAAAAAAGGCTATAGGACTCTATCAGGCATCGGGCCATCTCGAACTTTGGCAGCTTCCTGAGTACCTCTAGACTACGCTTAGTACACTTGACTGCAAAATAGGTAATAAGTGAGGCTGCGAGTACAAGGAATTAGGGATTAACAAGAGATAGGAAAGGCCCAGCTAGCAGTTCTAGCTCTTAAAGCAAAGCCGACAGCCAAGTAGCTGAGAGGAACAAGCTAGCCCGACCTATCCTTGCAGAAAACAGTTAGCAAACAACAACGGAGGAGAGCAGACGGAGTAGACATCAGCATCATTAGGCTAACTTAGGCAGGGGTGAGGGATGGTACATCCTTCCTTTAGGAAGCAATCAATGCCGTCCTTCAGGCCTCCACACCATAAGGGGGAGGTGCGTGTGTGAGTTCTCATTGTAATTCTGCTTGACTTGCCGGTGGAATAGGAACCGGACTGATGCTCCCCAGAATGGAAAAGGAGCCGGAACCGTAAGGTTCTGTTTTTAAAAAAAAATAAAAAAAAATGCAAAGCTGGTCCTGTCCGGTCTGTAGGGGGTGCCCATTTACAGACGGGAGAGAAAATATTATGCAAAGGGGGCAACTGCTGTTCTCCGCAACTGAAAATAGTATGCAACCCTGACACTAACCTACCTCGCCGCTGGAACAGACTATTCTAGAGTAGTATGTTATTCTAGAGTAGTCTGGTATTCTAGAGTAGTCTGTTCCAGCGCTGAGTGTGTTTAGAGTGCTGTGAAGTTCGTCATAGACCTCTCCTGTGCCCCCTTTGCATGTCATACTCTATCCTGCCCTTCACATATTTTTGTCCTGTACTTCGCCCTCCACCTCCCCCTACCCCACACTCCTAAAGAAGTCCGCCTTCTATCCTTTCCCTCCACCCTTCCCTCCCCTCTTGTGCTACTAGCAAAGACACGAATGAGCATCGTTGAGAGAACAGACGATATGAAGATCAGAAGTGAAAAAAATCAGAGTGAAGATCTGAAGAGAAATGCAAAGGAGCATATACCCTCCCTTTTACTCTGCCTCCTGTTATAACGTGCAAGTGGGTCGTTAAGGCGGCATACGGGGATGTGGGAAGCTGCTGCTCAACCACAATCGATGTGGTCAGCCTTGTACATGCGAGGCATAGTAAAAGAGGAGCTGTTGCCCCAAAGAAACCCCAACTAAACACAATTCAAAATGATTTAATTACGATTCATGTTGCTTGCTAAAGAGGTGAATTCTTTAGTTGTTGGGCAGGCTCGACTCGAATCTACTTGTCTGGGTGGAATAGGGGCTGTTGTGGTGGAAACCTACAACACACATGCACATGCGTCTCCTTGTGTGATAAGTGTTTTTTCTGAAGCGACTTTACTCCTCGATCTGCAGGAAACCAAAGTAAACAACATGTCATGTGTATATATAGGGTTCAGCCTCCTGATGAGTCGGTGAAACTCCGACGAAACAGTTTGTCACAGCCCCTCGTTTGTTGTCCTCTTCTCCCTCTCTGCCTACGGTTTACCGGGCAGTTCTATTTGACGATATATATATATTTATATATGTTTTGGTCACAGCCCCTCGTTTGTTGTCCTCTTCTCCCTCTCTGCCTACGGTTTACCAGGCAGCTCTGTTTGACAATATATAACTCTGCTATCCGATGTGATTCCACTCTGCTATCCGAAGCGATTCCACTCTGCTATGCGACACGATTCCACTCTGCTATCCGAAGCGATTCCACTCTGCTATCCAAAGCGATCTCACTCTGCTATACGGTGCGATTCCACTCTGCTATCCAAATTGATTCCACTCTGCTATACGATGCAATTCCACTCTGCTATTGGAAGCGAATACACTCTGCTGTCCACACGTGCAAGTGCATGTGTGTGTGTGTGTGTGTGTGTGTGTGTGTGTGTGCGTGTGTGTGTGTGTGTGTGTGGCTGCTTGTGCCTCATTCATGTGTGTAGGCACTTATGGCAATGTATGTCTGCTCCGTGTTGGTGGTTGCCCGTGTGTCTGTTGGTGTTTGTTTGCCTGTTTGCCCATGTCTTTCTGCTGGTCTTTGTTTGCCCAACTGCCCATGTGATTGTCTGTATGTACGTCGGTATTTGCGTCAGTTGTGTGTGCTGGCCTGTGTGTTGGTGTGTCAGCAAGTGCATCGACTAGTGGCGTCTGTTGATGCATGTTTCATTGCATCTGTGCATCCAGCTATGTGTGCGTGCATGCGTCTGTTTGTCTCTGCGTTCATCTGTGTGTTCTGTGCATGTTCTCATTCCATAGTCTCTCGTGGCATGCACTTGTGTGTCCGTCTGTTCATCTATCAGCCTGTCCATGCATCTGCGTGTGCAGTTGTCGGGCTGGGTGCCTTCGTGCTGAATCGGTACACTGGGTGACCATGATCGTGCAACGCTTTTGTTTCTGGACATTGTTGATGCAGCTGTCACTGATGGTAGTGAGCATGAAGTGAAGGGGGGTGGCAAGAGAAAGGCAGGTGGTGCGCCTGCTGGGCCAGCAAAAGGGGCAGGACGTGGGCGAGGCAAAAGGCCTGCAATTGGCAAGGATAAACCGGTGTTGAAGTCACATGGAGCTGATGTTGCAGGGGAAAAGACAAACGACAAGGGTGTACATGATGAGGATGGACACGGTGATGAGGAGGCGGCGGCAAAGAAGCCGGGACCACTTCGAGTGCTTGGGAGGGCGGGTGTAAATAGTCCTCCAGCGAGCGGGCGAGGGAGAGGGCGTGGGCGAGGTGCAGCTGCTGCTGGGCGAGGAGCGGGGCGTGGAAGGGGGAGGGGAAGCAAAAAGCAAGGAGATAGTGAATCGGAGGAGCCTTCTAGCGATGATGACAGTCCGGAATCGGATAGCGATGGAGATGATACATACACTGGAAGTGCAGCGAAGAAGAAGTTTGGTACTGTAGGACTCCGGCCGGCTGCCTCTGGAGAAGGGTTGCTAGCTGGAGCAGCTGCCAAAGGAAGTGGAAGGGGACGAGGGAGGGGACGGGGAAGAGGTAAACGTGGGAAGTAGTTGCAATTGCACTGATGATCGGGGAGTGGCCTAGTTCTTGTCTGGTAGTATGTGCAGTTTTCAGAGCATGATCTTTGCTTTTTGCAATTTTGAAATGCAGAGAATATTCATTGCTGCAGGAAGCCCACATATGTGTCACACAAAGAGAGAGAGAGAGAGAGAGAGAGAGAGAGAGAGAGAGAGAGAGAGAGAGAGAGAGAGAGAGAGAGAGAGAGATGCTGGCAATATGGTCTTGCTTATACTATTGGCCGCATTATGTTTACATCTCCTTGTGGGCTTGGAGTGCCAGACTACAATTAGTAGAATCGTGGCGCAGCTGTTTCTTTTTCTCTGTATTTTCGTTGGCCTAGCCATAGGATTGCTCATCGTCAGAAAAAGGTCTTCCCCATTCACTGTATTTTGCCTTGTGAGGGTGCGCTAAACGCGACAGGAATTCACACAGACAAACATATGTAAGTGCACATGTACCCACACACAGACACGCACACACACACACACACACACACACACACA